AGAGGTTGGGAGTTTGATTCCCCCACTGTGCCTCCTTCGACAAGTCAGTCTGTGTGGCCTCGGGCAAGTTGTGCAGTCCTAGGGCATCTCCCGAAGAAGGGAATGGTAAACTACTACTAAGTAGTATTCTCTACCTGGAAAAAAACGTGAACAGGATCGTCATAAGTCAGAATTGACTTGATGGACACTACCATCATCATCACTATGACATCAGCCCACAGATTGGTTGTTTCTCTTGGAGTGTGAATCACAAATGCTAACAAATAGATGTATCTGGATATACGCTACCCAGAGGTCCAGACTGGGACTGATTCTCTGTCGAGTAAATTTGTTGTTGCGAAATGTGGCCCTAATACAGCAGTTGGTAGTTAGATGGGTCTTCTAGTCATTTTTTGAACAACACCTACAGTGGGGTCTTGACTTAAGAACGGCTTGAGTTAAGAACATTTTGACTTAAGAACCACTCTCATAGGAAAATATTGACTTGACTTACATACTTAGATTTGAGTTAAGAACTGAAAAAAAACCACGTGGGAGGCAGGGAAAGTGCAAAATTTGAACTTTCAGTTAACTGTTGGCCAGTGAAAAGGGTGCCTGTCTGCTTCCTCACTCCTCCCAGTGTTTAGAGAGTGGATTGGGAGACAGTCTTCAGACTGCCTGGTACTGTACTGCCTGGACTGTATTTTCCCTGCCTTCCCTGAACCTTTCTTGACCTAAGAAAAAAAGAAACAAAATATCCCCCTCTAGTGGTCGAAGGCAGAATAGCAGCTTCCCATTAGTTTCTATGGACGGAAAAGAGCAGATACGGAACAAATGGTTCTCAATGCATTCCTATGGGAAATGCAGATTTGACCTGAGAACTTTTTGACTTGAGAACCGCCTTCCAATACGGATTAAGTTCTCAAGTCAAGACCCCACTGTATATCAGCCCTAGGTGGCTAGCATAACCCACAGTGAAGGGAGTATGGGAGTTGCTGGACGTATAAATTTAAATAAGCCAATGATGCAGAGGGGAACAAATCAAACCTCTGCATTCGGTGGATAATTTTGCAGCAGGATAAATCTTGCAGTATAAAGAGAGGTAGACATCTCTGGTCTGGTTGAATTGTAGAATCTGAAGCCTCTGTTGGATGCCTGCCCTCAGTCAAGCAATCTGTACAATTTTCACACTGCCATTGTATGTTTGTATCTTTCTGTAGCAAAGATTTTACATGGATGTACAATGGTTTCCTATGGCATGTTTGCCGTGGGATGTGTTTAGCTGCGAGTTTGAGTGTCATTCTGCAAATGTGTGATTTATCAGGGAGCAGTAACATCCTTGTTTCCTTTTAAACAGGTACATGCGTGGCCGACTCACTTATAACCAAGTGAATGCCGTCATTCAAGAAATTAATAAGGCCGTGGTGAGCAAGTACAAGATCATGCGCCAGCCTACCAAATCCATGTCTAGTGCCGTCCGCAACCTTTATTTCAGATTCCAGGAAGAAGAAAACAAGAATACAAAAGGTAACCTTTTATCTGCATTTAAATTCATACGCACACACCTTCCACCACCAGTCGGAAAATCGGCTCTGGGTTCGAGGCTTGAGTGCCAAGGCTTCCTAGCTAGTGGCTTTCTCTCATTTTCTCAAAATGTAAGGCTCTAGCAGAAAAAAGAATGGTAGTGATCTTGTGAAGATGTTATGTAACAACAGAGTGATGGGGAGGATCTTGGCTCAGTGTTTTACTTAGCCTAGAAACCTCACTGGCTTGTCTTGCTCCAGTCACAACCTCCCAGCTGAGTCTAAAACAGTTCAAGCCTTTTCTGCAGGAACTGTGAGGGGACCACAGGTCTCCGTCAGACGTCTCACACCCCCTTCGCCCACCACAGTTCCCAAAACTGAGGTCAATGGAGGAGGTAAGGGGAGAATGGGGGCTGGTCCTTCAAATGATGCAAACATGGTAAAAGATTATTGCATAGATAAGACCAGCTCAGCATTCTTTCAAAGATTTTTGGTGCCCACATGAAATGTAGGGTGTAGTGGTTATGGCAAGGATAAGCAAGTTTTCAAATTCAGCTTCCTGCCCTTTGGGATTCTCTGTGATGGCTGTACCAGAGCCAGCCCTGAAAAAAAGAGTAACTGGAAATTACCCAAAGAAATGTCTTTCGAGGGGAGGTCTTCACTGCTGGAGGCTTCTGAGGGCGGCAGGTAATCTTATTTTGTTAAAATAAAACCACTTTGTGTGTACACAAACGCAGCCTGGAGATTTCAGAGTTAGAGTGTGGGGTAGGGCAGAGTTAAACATGAAGCTGATTTGGTGATTTGGGGGCCCCGCATACATTCTTTGCCTCATCTCGCAGAATTGTTATGAGGTAAAATAGAGGAATCATTTATTTGTTTGACTTGTATACTGCCCCACTTACTGATGCCACTACTGTGCTCTGAACAATTTAGAAACAGACTGATGGACATACACACCCCAAACACCACCCACATACAAACCTAAAGAATATGATGATGACCAACTCATTTTCAAAAACACTAAATTTAAAATAATAAAAAGTCCACAACAGCAGGGGATATGTTCCTGAAGACAGCTTTTTAAGTTTTGTCTTTAATAGTTTCTGAAAAAGTCTGGACGGATGGAGCCCGGTGCACCTCAGATGGAAGTTTATTCCACAGAGTAGGGGCCACCCCCGAGAAGGCCCGATTTCTCGTTGTCATCTTTTTTGGCCTCTCCCGCTGTGGACACTCTTAACACTGGGCTTCAGGAGCAGTTGTTTTCTAGGGGAGATGTTCTGATAAATATCGAGGTCCTGAACCGTAAAGGGCTTTCATGGACGTACAGTACTGAATGCGGCCTTTGGTTCCTTGGCGGAAAGATGGCGTACGAATGAATGGAATTTACAAATACCATAAATTGTGTGTTCCCAGGTGAATTCTTTATTGTGGAGGCTGATATTGAAGAGTTCACACAGCTGAAAGCAGACAAACGCTTCCATGCCATCCTAACCATCTTGCGACATTGCCAGAGAGTGCGAGAGATTCGGGGTTCACGCCTCGTTCGCTACGCCATTTGCTGAGGCACCCTGGAACTTTCCTGGACTTGGGGAAGGGTGTGCACACGGATCATTGTGGGTGGTTGGCCCCATTGATGATTGACACAGCATGCCTGACTCCCTCTTTTCCTCCTCCTTCTTGATTCCTAATACAGTGTTTTTTCTGTGTATCTGGTTTAAAAAAATTAGGATTGGAAATGTCACTGTGTTCCCTTTTTTTGGTAAAGCCTTTTTTTGGCTTTTTAAAGTACGAGAATTACTGAAATGACAATAAAGGAGTTAAAGTGCTGGCAAAATCAGAGTCTTTGTGACTTTCTGTTGTCTTTGGGATGCATCTCGTGGAGAGCATTCCATCGCTGCACTCCGAGGAATGTACAGGTTGTGTCAGTGTGTGGGTCAGTGAATGCTTTGTGTCTTTATGTCTGTATCTGGTGCAGGCACCAAGTGAAGGAGGGTTCCCTTCACATTCCCTGTATCCTTTCCCAGAGGTCAAGCCCCTGTGGGCAGGGATCTATTTTACATAAAATGACATGTAATGATTTTATATAAGCAACCTGTTGTTGTTTACTAGTGTCTGACTCTTCGTGACCCCATGGACCAGAGCACGCCAGGCCCTCCTGTCTTCCACTGCTTCCTGGAGTTGGGTCAAATTCATGTTGCTTGCTTTGATGACACTGTCGAACTATCTTGTCCTCTGTCGTCCTCTTCTCCTCTTGCCTTCACGCTTTCCCAACATCAGGGTCTTTTCCAGGAAGTCTTCTCATGAGATGGCCACAGTATTGGAGCCTAGCACTAATACTAGTTACAGTATAAGCAGCCTAGCACAGAATAATTAAGACTGCTTGGTAAATAGCAACGGCATTCAGCCTTTTCATCCATATTTTGCATACTGGGCCTTACTGCCCACTTCACTAAAGTCCTGCTGTGACTTCTAGCAATATAAGAGCAAAGAAGCATGAAACCTCTCTACCAGCCTTCCTCAAGCTGACATCCTCCAGAGGGGTTAGACTACAGTTCCTATAACTCTAGCCAAAGAATTATGGAATGTATTATCCAGTCAAGTCAGGTGTAGGTTGGGGTGGGGGAAGCAGCTTTGCCCCCTGCCTGTCCTTTCCCTGCTGTTCATAAGATGGCTGTCTAAATCTTGTTACAATTGATCAGGCTTAGGTGTGGATTGAAGCATTATTGATTTCAATGGACCGTCAACATACTTCATGTTCCCTGGACTGTGGCCAATTCCAGATTCATTAAATGGAAAGTTTCCTCCCCCCCCTCCCCTTTTTGAGAAGCACATTTAAGAACCTGTGATCCTTAGCTATTTAAATTCAAGCTTATCCTCCTAAGTATACCTCAGGCTAAGATTTTGTTTTGCAGCCCATTGGCATGCCAGGTGGATTAAGAGTATTTCTTTCTTCGCTTTTTTTCCCCTTGTGCGCAAAGTAAACCTGGTCAATCAAGATCTGCCCAGGATTTGACCTTCATTTTTCTCTCTAATCCCCTCTTAAAAGCTTAGGAAATGGAGAAGTTGTGTTTAATGGGATATCAGTTAACTCTGAATGTGCAACCAAGGTTTAAATCACATAGACGCAGTTACTTCCAGGTTGATCAGAGCTCTCTTTCTGAAGTATGTTCTGATATCTGCCATTTACATACCAATAGTCTAGGCACAGTTTTCTAAATGGAAATGTTTCAAATGTAACAAGCCTATCTCCATACAGAAGTTAAAAGTATATCAAGGACCAGGGTATTTGGGGAAGGTTGGTTAAATCAGTGGCAAAGTAAGCTAAAGGGGAAGAATTCTGGGAGTTATAGTCCACCCCCCCAAACCTGCAGCATCTGTTCTCTGTATCCAAATAGCTCTACCTTCCATGTCAGGAAACTGCACATCCCCTCTAAAACCCTGGAGCAGTGTGGCCGTACAATATGAGCCTCTGTCTCTTGGATGTGGTTGACTACAGCTCCCATCATCCTTAGCCAGAATGAGGATGGAAGTCAGAGTGAGCACCAGGGAACACTGGGAGAGTTGATTGGGTGAACCAATAATTTTAAGACTGCATAAGGCAGCTTTGTATATTCCTTTTTTTTAAAATTAACATGGCACCAGGGAGGCTGATAATTTGCTCCTTGTGATTCTGTTTACACTTTGACTCATTATCAACACTGCTGCTTCTCCCACTTAATTTTGGAACAGATGTATTGCAATTACAGGCTTAATATGGCTGATCTAATATCTATGCAACCAAGGTGTCTAATAAATTAAGTTCCCCATCCAAAACTATGCCCAGCCCAAGTCAATGCGAAACAGCTTTTACAATGACTTCATAAAGACCCTATAATTTAAAAGATCAACAGTGGAACAGGATGAGGTTCACTTAAACACTGGTTTCGATAACAAAAATCATGGGAGGACTAGTTACTAGATTTTTTGCTTAGACTTGACAGAGTCATCTTTCTAAACATTCTATGAAACCCTGAAAAGGAAGGAAGCAAATTCGATGAAGCAAACTTTAGTGTTTGGAACTTGGAAAAATGGCTCTTTTAAACCAACACTCTCCCTCAGCAAATATGGGGGTCTAAAGGGTATAGTCCGAAATAGCAACTTATCAAAGCTGTGGAACTAAACAGTGGTTATTCGGCACCATATGGCAAGATTCTAGTGGAGGGTTCTAGCGGAAAAATAATTATGCTTTTACAGGAAAAAATAGTATAAGAAAAACATCTTTAAAAAATAGAAATATAAAAAGTATATGCAGAATTTCCCCCAAAGTAGAACAGTAAGAGCTGATACGGCCTTTTCTCATCTCATAGACCTGGATAAGATACTGGAGGTGGTTAGTGAAGGGCATGCCCCAGAAATGTGACAAAATTGCCCACCCAAAGCTACAGGGAGCGTGCCTTACCTCTCCCTGCAGGAAAGAATACTCAAGTTGAATTGATAGTTTTCTCTCTTACTTAAGAGCTGAAAGACATCAGCTCTGACTGCATGCATTGGGAAGTGGCCACTGGCCAATTATGTCTCCTGCCACCCAGGAAAAAAACAGTCACCCCCAGCAAGGGTGAGACAAACATGGTCTACCAGCGATGCAGTGGCAAATTTGAAAATGCAGGTGTTCATCAGGACAATCCCTGTAGCCAGCTCCCTCCAGAAGATCCAAAAATGCAGCCATGTGGATCCATCCATATCAAATTAGGAGGACAAGTTAATAGCTCTTAATTGCCCAGAAAGTTCCAGTGCTTTGGCCCTACAAGCCCCTTGCCATTCTACACCACCGTCCCCAGCATCAGCAAATTAAATAGTAAGTCCTAGCTTGAATGTAAGAACTGTACTGACCATGATTTGAAGAGGTCTCAGACAAAAATAAATCTTTGGGATTTTTTTGCTCTGTTATTTTCATTTCAAGTATTTTGCAAAATTTGCTCTTATTTTGTACTCACCAGCTGACATATCTACCTGTCTGGCATGAGTCACACACACACACAAGGTAAGGTGGAGGTGGCTGTGCACAGAACTCCAATGTGCAAGACAATCTCTCATATTTCTGCAGGGGAGGCCTTGATCTTCCGCACAGTTGGTCCATCTCACGTTTTTTCTTGTGACTGAGGCTGAGTGGGTGCTCGCGTCTGAAAGTAGGGAGACGATGACTGGTGAACAACGTTGTTCACTGGAGATTCTGCCCTCTCCTTCTCTATGCCTTGCTTTTCCTGGAACAGATATTAAAGAAGAGCAGTTCAAAACAAAATACCGTATTTTTCGCTCCATAAGACGCACCTTTCCATAAGACGCACCAATTTTTTAGGAGAAGAAAACAGGAAAATATAATCTGTTTTCTTCGCTCCATAAGACGCACAGACTTTCCACCCCCCTGTTCTGTGGGGGGAAAGTGCATCTTATGGTGCGAAAATTACGGTAACACAATCAATTGGTGGCAATAAAATAGCAGGGAAATGGAAAAAGTGCAATGGCAGAGGAAAAGCAAATCCCTGTTTTAAAAATTGCCTAAAGCAATGAACTTGTATTTGCCTTGCACTAAAACATGAAAGTTAGTGGCATGCAAGACCACCTTAGAAGGGGTATTCCATAGATGACCCAAGCAAAAAGACTTGTGTTTAGAGTAACTTGCCTAATTTGCTTGTGCATTCTGTCTTAATACACATCCTGATTCAGGCCACAGCTTAGAGTCTTGCATTTTAAAAGGATACATTATCTTACCTATTGCTTCCTAGCAGCCCCAGTTATTTATTTTGCTCAAAATGCATTAACACATTGTACTGCTGTCACCAGGATGGCAGGAAAACGCAGGGGAATGCACTCTGTTAACATCTGGTGGCCAATTCTGTTATTGTACATTGTGAATATTTACAAAAGACAAAAAAAATCTTGTGTCCCCGAAGATTGATATAAGAATGCCGTTAAACCTGAACAATTCCTGAAAAATGTTTTGTGGAAGTAATTGGAAAAGATTACTTGTCGCACCTAAAAGTAACTTTGTAACTACTTGATACATTATTCATTACCCTAAAAGTAACTTGTTGCTTTCACGCTCTGGTTCACACTGAAGGAGGCAATCTTCAGCTGCCATGGGTCTCATAATTAGGTTCATGAACAGACCCAGAACAGGAAGTAACTAGTTATAAATAACACAGCTAGCTGTAACTAATTACCTTTGGTAATAAGGATATTGTTACATTTAAAAAGCAAGGTAACAAATAGCTATGTTTTTGTGTAATGAGCAATGCTTTCCAGTCCCTTTCATACATATATTATGTTTAAGGAACATTTTAAAGCCACTTTGACAGGGTTTTCCAAGTTTTATGCTATTCTCTTGCTAATCTTCAGCGAGGGAAACATGCTTTATTTCAGCTTTTTGTAGATGTGATATCAGAATTAGCCACTAGAGGTGCCATGCAAGAAGAACAATGCTCAGGAATTTCTGAGATGGGATTTGAGGGTGAATGGAGAAGACTGTAACAATTGTCTGGTATTATCAGAAAAATGAGTAATGCAACCCAGGTTATTTTAACAATGATTTTCCTTCTGGGCTCACATTAAGTCTTTATGATTTGTGTACTGACATGCTTCTAGAGCAGTGGTTCCCACACTTTTTTGCACAATACCCTTTTTTATTTTTGAGAAATATTCATGCCTCTTCAGATCCTCTTTACCACTGGCCAATGCCCTTTAACTATTTAACAATGATTTTCCTTCTGGGCTCACATTAAGTCTTCAGATCATCTTTACCACTGGCCAATGCCCTTTAACTAACTATTCAGATATCAGTCTAGAATCTACATCATCCATACAGCAAATA